CGTGCAGCTGAATATACGGCGGAAGATTTAGCCGGTGTCAAGGTCGGACATGCTGCTGGAGATTTCGACGGTGGGGAAGATCATATTCTTACACTGAAGGATACCACGATCGACGAGAATGAGGAGGAAGGCGACGAGTTGGAGAATCTGGAACTTAGGGAAAAGGAGAAAACCACGGAGAAGCTTGAGCTGAAGAAACGCAAACCCGCGTATGACCCTACGGAAGAAAGCACCGGAATACTCGCCCAGTACGATGAGGAAATTGAAGGCAAGAAGCGGAAACGGTTTACACTCGATGCCCAAGGATCTACTACCGAAGAACGAGAAGCCAAGCGACAAGAAGTCACCGAGAAGTTGAAAAGGAATGTTATCAGCCTTGACTTTGCGGAGGAGACTCCAACATCCGATTATATGGACTTGAGCGAAGTCAAGGTGAAAAAACCTAAGAAAAAGAAGGCCAAGACGACAAAGAAACGTGCTGTTATGGATGATGATGATGTTGTTGTATTTCCTACAACTGAGTCGACAGGTACGCCAAATGGGAATTCCATGGAGGTTGACGCAAGTAACGGAGAGCCAGCACCAGCTCCTGCCCCTCGCAAGCCCGTTAGCGAGGATATCTCGTTTGTAGATGACGATGATCTACAAGCATCTCTCACCCGCCAGAGGCGTGCTGCTTTCAAGAAACGCCAGAAAGCACGTCCCGAAGACATTGCACGACAACTCAGAGGAGAAGCGTCGCAAACACCAATGGAAGTGGAAGACTCAGGGGAGAATGAGGAAGAACCTGGTCTGGTCATAGATGAGACCTCAGAATTTGTCTCTAACCTACAGAAGCCCGCACTACCTGAACGCCGTGAGAGGCAGACAACGACGCCAGTCGAGGAGCCGCGCGCTTCGTCTGAAGGCCCTGATATCAAGGACGAGCTGGCGGAGGATGGCGATGTGGACATGGAACGCTCATACAACGATATTGAGGATGAAGAAGACCTCAAAGCACGCATCAAGAGCGAAGAAGCCATGGTGAACCAGCAGATCAGTGGTACTGGCTTGGAAGAAGAGTCCACACTGGACCAAGGTCTTGGCGCCACATTGTCGATGCTCAAGCAGCGTGGCTTGGTCAAGTCATCCGATGCTGCCGATCATAATTCTCTCATTCGTGATCGGCAGCGCTTCTTACAGGAAAAGAACCGCCTCGAAACCGAGGCCGAAAAACGGGCTCGTCTGCAGCGTGAGCGTGACCGAGCCTCCGGAAAGCTCAACCAGATGTCTGCCCGTGAAAGGGAAGAGTACGCACGGTGGGAGAACAAGCAACGTGACCAGCAAGATGCTCGTCATATGGCGGAAGTGTTCAACAAGGAATATAAGCCTGATGTGCAACTCAAGTATGTGGATGAGTTTGGCCGTATGATGAACCAGAAGGAGGCATTCAAGCATCTGAGTCACCAGTTCCACGGCAAGGGAAGCGGTAAGATGAAGACAGAGAAGCGACTGAAGAAGATCGAGGAGGAAAAGAAGCGAGAGGCAATGAGCGCATTGGACAGCAGTCAGCATACGGGTATGAACAATGCCATGGGAGCGACAGCACGGAAGAATCGCCAGGCTGGTGTGCGACTCGGATAAACGGCTGCAGCCGATATTCGCCTTATTCTACGCGTTTTGTTCATTTTTTCTTATTTCTTTAGTGATGCCCATGCCGTTTAATTTTTAGTTTTCGTTGTACAACTTATGGTATACCAAGAATAGAAGCAAGCAACATTTCGCTATCTCCAACGGGAGTATCTCCAGTTCATCGCCGAAAGTAGATCCTGTTTCCAGCGGCCCCAACTGACCGGGAAGTCGGAGCAAGTCCAGAACAACCCGCCTGTCGCCTTTTACTGCTTGTTGTTTTCTTGACAATCGATGACTTGGCGTGTGGGGAAATTAACCGCGAGGGAAGCTGTCAGACTTTCGTGAGTACTTCAAAGTGAACATCATAGTACAATCGTGAGTGAACGGTGTGCAGAACACCTGCGACGGAGAAACGGGTTGGATTTTTTTACGATCTTTCTATAGGTACTACTTTGATCATGAACATGGAGCAACAGACGCTTCTTAAAAACAAAGGGCGCATCCGAACCACTCCAATTTACCCCAAACTCTTCGTGAGGGGAAAGGATTCCCAAACAGGAATGGGGAGGCGCCCCCGAGGGCGGTAGCCTCAGGCCACGGTGGGCCAGAATTCTGAAAGAGCTCACCGAAGGCCGAAAAGCACCACAGCATGCAGTGGCGCCATGCTGGAAACTGTCAGCAACTCTCAGTTAGTTGCCTTACCTATTCTTCTTGCCTAACAATCATACTATCCCTCGGATCTGTTATCAGATCCATACATCAATCCCGAGTAGGAGGAACATGAATGGGTATGGTAGGTATGGTATGGTATTGTGTGGTATGTATGTATGTAATAAGAAATATTGGCAACGGTCGGCTTGCCGATGATGATAATGGTGATTTTTTTTTCTCAAAAAGCAGAAGAGGATCAATTAAAGCTTCCAATCCTTCTACTAACTGTTTCTGCATCTACAACACAATTAACCTAACCTAAGAGCAAATCCCGCTCGGGCTGACAAGCTGAATGAACAATTTAACCGTGGGTGCGGAGAGGGCGACCAATCCGAATTGGTCGCTCCCGTCCCCGGAATCTCCCTAGTTCACATGAGTCGAAAAATAACACACACGCAGCATCTCCGATTATTTATCTGCTCGCCTCCTTGTCCGATCTCTTTCTTCTTTTTCCTGGAATATTTTTATCTAGAAGACCTCTGGAGCTCGCTTGCAATTGTTTTGATTTCTTAGTTATATCTCTCTTCCCTTCTATTAATCATGCTGTCTACTCTCAGAGTCGCCAGCCGTACGGCTATTTCGCGTGACGCTAGCTTGCGCACCGTCGTCGTTGGTGCCAGGCATGCCTCGGCCTGGTCTAACGTCCCTCAGGGTCCTCCGGTAAGCTCTACAGTGCATGATTTACAATCCATTGAAGTGTCGTGATTAACTCAATGCTTTTTAGGATGCTATCCTGGGTATCACTGAGGCTTTCAAGGCCGATTCATTCAAGGAGAAGATCAATCTGGGTGTTGGCGCTTACCGTAAGCAATCATTCCGCCGCTTTTGCACTCAACCCAAGCTCCTCATGCGGAGCTTTTTTTTTTCTTTTTCTTTCTTTTTTCTCTATACTTGGACGCTGACATAGTTTGAACTTATGCATCAACAGGTGATGACAAGGGCAAGCCCTACGTTCTGCCCTCGGTTCGCGCCGCCGAGGACAAGGTTGTCGCCTCCCGCTTTGACAAGGAGTACGCCGGTATCACTGGTGTCCCTTCTTTCACCAAGGCCGCTGCAGAGCTGGCCTATGGCAAGGACTCCCCTGCCATTAAGGAGGACCGTCTCGTCATCACCCAGTCCATTTCCGGTACCGGTGCCCTAAGAATCGGTGGCGCTTTCCTGCAGCGCTTCTACCCTCACGCGAAGAAGATCTACATCCCTACTCCCAGCTGGGCCAACCACAACGCCGTCTTCAAGGACTCCGGCTTGGAGGTTGAGAAGTACCGCTACTACAACAAGGACACCATTGGCCTCGACTTTGAGGGTCTGATTGCCGACATCAAGGCCGCCCCTGAGAACAGCATCATCCTTCTCCACGCCTGTGCCCACAACCCCACCGGTGTCGACCCCACCCAGGAGCAGTGGCGCCAGATCAGCGATGTCATGAAGCAGAAGGGCCACTTTGCCTTCTTCGATATGGCCTACCAGGGCTTCGCTAGCGGCAACGCTGATGTGGATGCTTTCGCCCCCAGGCATTTCGTGAGCGAGGGCCACAACATTGCCCTGTGCCAGAGTTTCGCCAAGAACATGGTAAGCATATAGGTGCCAGAAAGTAAATGCTAGTAGCTGATCAAGTATAGGGTCTCTATGGTGAGCGTGTCGGTGCCTTCTCCCTGGTTTGTGAGAACACCGAAGAGAAGAAGCGTGTGGACTCTCAGATCAAGATTCTCATCCGCCCCTTCTACTCCAACCCTCCTATCCACGGTGCCCGTGTTGCCTCTACCATCATGAACGACCCTGAGCTCAACCAACAGTGGCTGGGAGAGGTCAAGGGCATGGCCGACCGCATCATTGAGATGCGTGCCCTGCTCAAGAAGAACTTGGAGGATCTGGGCAGCAAGCACGACTGGTCCCACATCACCAACCAGGTAAATGAGCTCTTTGGGCAAATAGATCGGCAGATGCTAACTCGCTTTGCCATAGATCGGTATGTTCGCCTACACTGGTCTCAAGCCCGAGCAGATGGATGTTCTTGCCAAGGAGGTATGTAGTAATTATCACTTGAGCCCCTGTTCGAAGAAACCGGTTACTGACAGTATTTCTAGCACTCCGTCTACGCCACCAAGGATGGCCGTATCTCCGTTGCTGGTATCACCACCGACAACGTCAAGAGACTTGCCGAATCTATCTTCAAGGTGACCGGTTAGAGAAAGGGGATTTGAGGCTGGGCTTTATCCTTTAAAATACATAGATCTGCCGGGGTGTAGCCCTTTGTATTGATATCCGACATGTTTTAAATTAGCATATTCTTACGAGCTTTTGTATTATGGTCTGAATTCTCCTAAATAGTTTATACGCTCAGTGTGCAAATGTGGACGAGTAGTTGTAGCGAGGGCAAGCAAGACAAATGAGTCCAGATGGCTGTTAAGCCAAGAAAAGGAGCCTGAGGCGACGATCCTTCTCCAAAATTTCAGTATTGAACCAGGAATATACTACAGGAAAATAATAATGTTCTAGACCAGGCATGTTATACATGACCGGCATATATAGGATATAATAAGAGGAAGCAAGGCGTAGGTGGTTGCAAAGGAAACCAGAAGGGGGAAAAAGAAAAAAGGCAAAAAGAATAAGACCAAAACAAAAAAAACAAAGAAAGTAAATAATAGTAATGCGGGAGAACAAAAAAGGAAAAAAGACAACGCCCGACGGGAGGCTCGAACTCCCAACCTTAAGATCTCTCTTGGAGTGGAATCAACTACTCTTTTGGAGTGATGATTTAACCCTAAAAGTCTTACGCGCTGACCAATTGTGCCAGCCGGGCTAATTGTTGAAGATAGAGGATTAAGAGCCATTTATAAGGAGCATTAGCACAATTTGCAGTAGTATATTTCAACATATTTCTTTTACCTAAATTAAAATAAAAAGAGTCATTATTAAAAATAATTAATTTATTCTATCTGAGAATGTTAGTATGTTCAACTACAAGTCTACAACCAGGGTTATTAAATAAGTAGTTTCATGGAATCGGCTGCAGTGCACTTGTAATACGTTGGGGCATTCTGCACCAGAGCGGCCGGGGGAATTTATTCTTCAGAGGTATAGTAGGTATACCCATAGGGAATCGGTTCGCTGGTGTAGTAGCTATGTTCTTGGATTACGTGCACTTTGGTGTCACTGTTAACTACCTCTGGGTGGACATTTTGGAACAGTGCCCCAATGATGAGTGACTTGGCGCGACTTTGCCATCGTTTTGATGGCATGACTGTGATAAATATATTGTATAGTTCTTGGACAAAAGTCTACGTAATTTCCCGCAACCACCAAAATATATATTAAAATCGGAATATCACAATCTCATGCAAAACAATCAGA